TTTATTTGTGCATCATGCACACTGTATGCGTACATTTCCATCCACCATGAGCCAATAAAAGCTCAAAGCACAAAGTTAGGCGTCACCCTGCTCCTTAATGCTCTTGCTAATGAACAACTGCTGTACAGACTTTAGACCAACTGTAAAGATGACTGAATGTAAGCGGTGCAACGTCTTTATGATATGTTATGATTACTGAAATGAGGCTTTCTGCAATTAAAATAGTGAGGCATTTCTCCCATTGTGCTGAAAAGACTCGGGGCGCCCATTTGTCTCCACTTTGCTGCAGTGTTTTTGAAGAGCTCAGGCTGGGGAGAGAAGTCACGAGGATATTTGATGGGGGGGAATAGAGTGGAGGGAGGAGGAGGAGGAGATGAAGGAGGAGTGAGGAGGGTTAAGTCACATTTGGAGGCCAGAGATGGAGCAGAATTCCATGAGCAACATCTGGAATTCTGACTGCATCATGTGGGCCAGACAAACAGCAAGACCTGGCAACAAGGGGGTGGGGGATGGGGATCTGTTTGAATCTGTTTTAATTGGCTTTTCCCTGTATCACAGTCAAATTATAGAATATGTGAAGAATCGAGTATTCTTTTTATTTACTCCTCTCTCTGTCGTATGCATTTTTGTGCATGATGTTTTCCATGTGCTAAACATTTCTGTGACCTGCACACAGGTCAGAAATATAGCTGTGGGTGACAATCTGATGTTTTCTGTCTTCCCCAGCTGATTCTGCAGAGTGAAAAAAAAAGAATCGCCTCAGCATAATTCTTCCCCACAATCCTCTCTATTCTCTCTGTGTGTAACCGGAGAGCTTTTTCTTCACTGTCTGTGAAATGACTCACTTCTTTCTTTCACAAAGTCCAACAAAAGACTACGCCACCATGTTCCAGCCTCTTCCAGCCATTTCTTCTGCTCTCACACTTCACCTAGATATGTGAAAAGGTCATTTCTGGCTCTGATTCCTGGAGTGCTACTTTAACATGAGTCCTTTTTTTTTTTAAAGGCTGAGCTACAAACTAACTCTTCCAAACCCATCCCAGAGAGTTTATGTCATCTCTATGTTCATTTCTACTCAATAAATATCATTAGCTTCTCATATGTTTAGGTCTCTCTGTGCTGGACACTTCCTGTGCCTGTTTCAGTTGGCCTGCAGGCTGATGAATGGAAACTTCCCAAAAGGGGAAGTCCAGATCTTGGCTATTGTGTCTCATAATGGCCACAGCGAACGTCACACTGTAATTGCAGGACCAATCTCAGAGAGAAGAGTGAGTAACTTTCCAACTAAAGGAGTGAATGATGAACAGAGAGCAGTTGCTGGTAACAAGGACGTGGGATGGTGGAAGGCAGCGTTTCTGGTGGGTGGCTATATAGGTTACACATGGTTTTCATTTGCGCCAGTTAAAGCTCTGCCACATCCTGCACCATGCGCTAATACAATTGAGGGGTTGCCGTTGTCTGTGTTCTAATGCTGACACACAATCAAATGGACACGTATAGGTAATATGTCCGAGGCTTGCATTTGCTGCTGTGTTCACTTCCTTCCAGGTGATGTCACTACCCTTTGTTGGCCATCTTACAAGTTTTAAAGCACCATCAGATATGTTTTTAACTTACAAATATAACCGAGTAAATGGACTGCATCTATATAGTACTTTTGTAGTCTGAGCAGACTACATACCTCATTCAGAGACAACTTTTATATTTGTATGTGCACATATGCTGTCCGCAATGCACAGTCAATGCAAAGTCCTAGTAATGAAAGCTGTGCTGTCTCCTCTTGAATGGGGATGATTTAAAGATGATATGCAGAAACAATACAGTAATGGCAGATTATGGACAGGAAAAGTATAGGAGTAAACAATCACAAATGCCACTAAACTGTGCAGGTGTAATATCAGGAGCCTGAAACTTTCAGAAACACTGTAAAGGGAATGCAGTCATTATGTGAATGTAGTCAAATTATTTCAACCTGTGTGCTTCCTGCTGTGACAATGGAGGTTTTTATATCTGACGTGCGGCTATCTCCCTGTCTCTCTCTCTAACACACACACACACACACACACANCACACACACACACACACACACACACACACACACACACACACACACACACACACAGTTTACTTGTAGTACCCACTGCTGTGGCAGAAGAGGGATCAATACCTAATACTCTTTCCGTTCTGTCTGAATCGTATTATTCCATTTAGCTCCACAAAGAGTTGTGCATGGAAAATTATTTTCCACCCATAACTTAAGAGTTTCTTGAGTGCCACAGATGTCCCAATCTCAGCTTTCCCTGCATCATCATGTCTCTCAGCAAATGTTTGGTTTGCAATCGTTGTTTTCTTAGTCGTGCAGTTCTGCCCCTCTCTGCCCCCTCAGTGCTGAATATGCTTTAAGCTATCAGTTTAAAGCTACATGTCTGGTTTTGTTGTGTTCAACACGATGTCTGCAGTTTGTATTGGGTGTGGTGCAGGGGGGGAGCGGTCTCTTAAATGCCAGAGGGGTATTGTGTGGGTGAAAAGTACAGGTGCAAGAAGTTGAACAATCCCAACCTCCTTGGCTCGTCTTTTTTCAAACCCTCACAAGTTTTACAAGCCCTGCAGGAAAACAACTCAATCACAGGAGATGCTGATTCAGGTTCTACAAGCCCAGCTACCCTCACTCTGACCCAGCCATATCCGCAAGGAAACCCCCCTGCTCTGCTCCAGGCCTCAGCAGGATACTGGGCACATTTCATCTGACATCTAAATATACTTACAGTCCCTGTCTGAACTATTGTGACCACAAGAAGTAAGAACACCAAACTTCTTCTTCTTCCTCCTCACCCTCTCCCACAGCTTGTTAATGAAGTAACACAACCTCATGCATGGTTTTTTTTCCTCCTCTCCCCAACTCTTCCATCGCAACAGGCCACATCTGGTTTCCATAAGCACATACATGTCATCACAAAGAAGAGGAGGGGGAAGAAAAGAGAGGGGTGACTGAAAGAGGAGGGGGAAGGGTGTGTATATATCAAGGGAAGGTTAAGGAGTGCTAAGACTGACTGTCGAGATACTGTTGTCATTCAACATTTCTCCAAACTCTTCTCACGTTTCCGTGACACAGTCCAGCTGAAATCCATAAGAGGCATGGGTAAATAGGAGACAGGCAGAGCAGGAAAAAACTCCCAAGTCAGAGGGTAAGAGGAAAAGTCAGTGAGACATGAAGAGATCAGAAGGCCCACATCAGAGGTAGTCCTTGAAAGCAGAGCTTAGAAGGCCTCAGTTCCCAACAGTGGTAGACACAAAGACCTGTGTGGTTATGCTGAGGAGGGGAGGGCTGAGATGAGGGGAGGTAAAGTCAAAGTCAAGGGAGGGGGGAGTTGCTTACAAAGCAAAAACACATGGTCTTTACTGCCCACTCATCAGCATTACGAGTGGCTTTGCTCAGCTGACTGGCGGATCATGGACGCCTTCACTGCTGACCTGAGCCCTGCACCAGGCACAGGTGGTCCTCCAGCTGTCACCAGACGTTTCGTAAAAGAAAAAACCTGCAACTGCAGAAACATTGTTTTGAGACATCTGTGGTCACAGAGCTGCTCAGCTGCTCTATGTTAGATTTCATGGAGCCAGAAATGGCCTTCCTGTTCATAAGCTGAACTGGTGAGAGCTCATCCAGGGTCTAAGCAGCAGTGGGCAGATCGGCTGTCGAAATATCTACGATGGCAGCAACAAAGAAATGTTGGGATTTTTAGACCTGGCACCAAATAACTAATTCTCTGGTAGAGCCTTGGTTGTCCTCTTTGATGGGACCAGGGAAGACACAGGTTTTTATCTGTTCCAGCTAGTGATAGAAACATGACACCTGGGTGAACACACTTGTTGTTTTTGGTTCGGTATCTGGAACTTCACTGTTTTGGTTCACAATCAACATAATTTCCTGTTGCAGCACACACAGCTATTTCCTTAGAAAAAAGCTCTAAGCCCACTGCACACTAACAAGCACCAGAGGTTAGCAACTAGCTTTGCCAGCCTTTAATTCCCTCCAGCACTGGATATCAATCTTATTTTTTTAATTAAATAACCATTCCTCTAGTGCACATTCAAATCACAATAATATAGTTTGTCCATTCAACACATAAGGTAGTTAGGCATAATGATAATGTCATTATCATGCCTTCCTTCGTTTAGTTTCAAAACACTACATCTCTACAGTAACAATTATTTCTATTTTACTTTGCCCTTCATGTTTCAATCTTCAAAACCTCCAGCTGTCTGGTACAAGCTCAAGATGCCCTGACATATGCTTCACATGCTTGAATATAAACTTTTTCTCATCGTCAAACTATCGTCAGCAAACTAGAGAAACAGTCATTAGAGGTGGAAGAGGTAGGCTCTGATCCCAACTAGGCTGCCTGACTTATAAATTTGTTCTGGGGCTGCCAGAGAGATGCCAGGGATAAGGATTCACTGGTCCACAGAGTTCAGACACACTGAATTGCATCAGGGCGGAAAAATGTTATGCTCAGCGACCATAGGGCTGTAATTACATAGGAGCACTGCTGAGCTCTGCAGGATGAACGTCAAGACTGAAGAGGTAGGACAAGGCAACAGAAGAGGGCAAATACATGATTTATGATGGACTGAGATAAGAAAAGGGTTGGTGACGCAGAGAGGTGGTGAAGAGGGTCAACGCTCCCGACAACCACAAAGCTGGTAGATTAAAGAAAATGCAATTTTTCAATACAATAAGGAAAATTGGCATTTACCAAGATTGAGGATATGAAAGTTGTTGGCATGATGAACACGTATAATATTCTCTGTCATATCCAGAAATTAATTTGACTGCAGGAAACCTTTCTCCTGTCATATGTCATGACTGAGCTGAGCCACAATGTAGTATGACTGACACCTTGTGGATTCTATATGCAACCACCGATTTAACTAAGCTGTTCCCATTATCTATCTAGATGGAAATGTCGTTACCGAGAACAATGAAAAAAACATAACAATCATTTCAAACTTCAATTTTTATTATTTGTACATTCACCACTGATAGGCGTACTCAAAGAAGAAATTAAAAAATGAGAACAAACCTTTGTACTAAATGAAAAATTACGATTAAAAAACAATATTAAAAACAATGTTGAGAAAACTTATAATGCGACCTCTGCTCTTGAGCCTGTATGGACACAACAGGTTAAAAGAACTGGAGGAAGAGGAGGAAAGATGGGAGGGAGAACAGAAGCCATAAGGACATGATCAGGACTTGTGTCAGGTGCGACGGGGAGATGCACAGATTCGTCTCATCTCCTTCACTAAGCAGAGGGAGAGACAAACACTTCATTGCCTTAATAGTTATTCCACACCTGTCCAAAAATATCCAAGAGCTGCCTCATTTAAAGACTTGATTTTGAGTAATCTCTATGTCTGTACAAAATGCCAAACACACCTGTTCCAATATTTTTGCAGGCCTCTGCACAAGGGCTGAGTTTTCATTGTAGGCAGGACTAGCAAAAAGAGCCTTGAATTACATGCAGCAACAAAAGGATTCTTCATCCAAATCAAGTGTAAAACACTGAGGCAACAACAATTGATTGCAAATTAGAATTGGCACCTACAATTTGGGGTAAGTGGGTAACATTGAGAGAAATTATCAAAATCACCCAGTGTGCCATACTGCTATGGTGTCAAAAGAATAAAAACAAAGAAAAAGAGGCAAATCTAGAAGGAAAAAATATATCAAACCTTGACATGAGCAAGACGTACAGCACTCTGGGAAACAACACTGCAAAAAACCATGGTCCCCTTTAAGCAAGACTGTGTGTGGGTGCAGATGTGCTTTAAAAAAGGTGACAATTTGAGAGATGGTGACGACATCAGTTGGTCCTCTGTTGGGTATTAGTTGTAACAAAGTACATGTAGTGAAAGGCAAATGGAAGCGGGTGGTCTCTAGGACAGTTCCATCAGGTGGTTGGCCATTAGCGCCGCCTTTCTCGCGGGTCGCTACGGCTGCGTGAGCGTCGGCTGCTGCCGCCACCTGCCCCGCTGCCCCCCTGCCTTCGATAGCCATCCCTGCGTTTATCATTTTCCCTCTCCCTTTCCCTTTCCCTCTCCCTGTCTCTACCGCGTTCTCTGTCTCTGTCTCTTTCTCTGTCCTTGTCCTTCTCACCCTCACTCCGGTCTCCTGTTGTGCCACCTCCAGCTTTCATCCTCTCCTTGCGCTCTTCTTCCCTTTTTTTCTCCTCCTCCTCCTCTTGCTCCTTCCTCCGTTTCTCTCGCTCCTTTGCCCGCTCTGCTCTGGCAGTTTCTCGCTGGATAAACTGAAATGAAGAAAATGTACATTGAATTAAATATCTAGGTCAAGTGTTGAAGTTATTCATGAGAAGCAGAATCTGGTTTGTGTCCCACCTGTTCATCGGTAAGTGGAAGCCAGTATATGCAAGGAGCTGCTTTAGTTTTTCGGAACAGATCATCAAGCAGCTTTGCTGGAGGATCCTCAGCTGCTTTCTCTGCCAGAGAAAACAGACACAATAATAAGCACAGGTCTATTTTCATTCTAATTCAAATATAGTCTAATCCCACATTTGCATGCACCTACCCTTCTTTTCAGTCTTTTTCTCTTTGCTCTTTCCTCTCTCTTTACGTCTTCTCTCTCTGGAGCGCGACCTTCTAGGACCTCCCTCCTTCTCTGACCCGGGTTTCCCGAACTCTCTGACCTTGTCACGATCCCACTCCCGCTCTGCTCTGGCCCTCTCCCGGCGCTCCATTTCACGCTCACGCTCAGCCCACTGGTCTCGCTCAGGGAGGAGAGAGGGCAGGCCTGACGTTCGACCACGACCAGAGCCAGGACCCTGTTCCTCTGCTCCAGTTCTGTCGGCTGTCACCAGGCCTTTGTGGAAGTCCAGCTACAAAGCAGAGATATTGTCAGGCTACAGGCGACTGAGCATGGTGGGCATAGGAGTCAAATACAGTCAGTGAGGTCTTACCTCATCTTGCTGGCAGAAGTCCACACTAAGGACTTTTGGGTTGCTCTGAGGCCATTTCACTCCATGAAGAGCTGCCCGTGTGGCAACAGCCTCCTCTGAGCACGAGTACTAAACACAGATAGAAGACAGAGGCTCCATGAGATAGAAAAAACTTCCACAGGTAAAAAGAAATGGTTCAGACCTAGAGCACTACCACAAGAACATGCTTTTAGTAACTCACAGTGACATAGCAGTGAGACTTGATTTTATCAATCCAGAAGCTGTCCTCCACCAGGGTGCCTGTTCGGCTGAGCAACTCCTTCAGTTGCCCCAAAGTGAATGGCCGCACCTAGAGAGAAGATTACAGAGCAATTACACAACGAAAGATACTGTGAGCGAAATAACAACCGTTATTAGCATTTTCATTTACACTCCACTGTAGACATTGCCATATTTTGATGGGTCAATGAGCACAGGTATTTTATTGGTCATATTATGCACAAAGCATTATCTCATGTGTACTCCAAATGATAGACACACAGAGATGGGAGGCAGACAGGGCCGGTAAAAACATTTGACTACTCAACTACCCACCAATGTGGCAGGATATCTGCCAATGTGTTTGTGAGAGTTGTCTCCCATCAACCACCTGTATGTTTTCCAAAGCAAGCTGGATACGCAGTTTACACCTTTTTGTTGATCATTGTTTTTACCATTTCAAATTCCAATAGCAGGTCATATCAGTTGTCTTAAGCTGAAGTAAATTTCATGACTAATTTGATACTGGATATTCACATTGGATACATTTTCAAACCCCGATCAAGGAGAGCCGAAAATTTATTGGCAGGCTATGATATATTATGATAAAATCGGTTTATTTTTCAGACATCCTTAGAAAATTCTAAATTCATCTCCAGACCAGGATAAGTTAAAATCTACATTACTGAGATTCAAGAGATTAAATCATTATATGAGAGTAAGAGACAAACAAAAACAAAACAATTCACCTTAAGACCAATGACCGAAGGCAGAATATGCATGAGTAGTAAAGTGTTATCTCACCAGGTTGCAGACGTGAACAATGTTGGAGACTTTGCCACGAGGCGGTGAAGGCTGACAGGATGTGCGGACGGGATCATCAATTGTGATGGAGACGCCCGTTTTCTGCTGGCTGATGGAGCGACGAATGAGGGTGTCACTAGGGGTCACTAGAATAAAGACAGTGGGAAAAAGTCAACACTCAAGTTTTTAAAAACAAATGCAAAATGAAATTAAAAAAAATTAAAAAATCCATCAAATCAGGTTATTTGTTAGTATAGCATGTAGATTATGCACTAATACTATAGTTATATTAAAGAAAAATGATTTTCATTGTGATGGACCTAACTAACTGACTAACTAACGGGATGAAGACAGTTTGTGATGGTTTTATTACCAGTGTTGATTTCTACATCATGGCTGGTATGTGATGGTGATTGGGTTTCCACTGCTCCAGGAAATGAGGTGTCCATCTTCTCTTCAAGCGTCATTGTTCTGTCTTTCTCTCCCTGAAGATCTTCCTCCTCCAGCTCCTCATGTCTGCTCCTCTTCACTTCTTTCTGTCCATTCTCCTGGCTCTCCAAGTGCACCACCTGCAATAAGGAAGGGATCAACATAAGCATTTCTCAACAAAAAGATACCATCAGACTTTCCTAATAATCATTCAACATTTCACAGTAAAGACAGCTCCTTATCTGGCATTCAAACAATGAATTTGAAGACCCACCTGTGTGACAGTGCGACGTATCTGAAGGTCCTGGTCAGAGCGTTCCCTCTCTTCATCCTCAACCCCAGAGAGGACAGCTTCCTCTGGGTGCAGATCCACTATTGCCTCCTGACCAAGACATGGTCGGATGTCGGGGATCAGAGACTGAGGCAAAGATTGAGATACATTCACCACAAAAGACGGAAGCAGTGGAAGTGTTTCACAGTTCATCTTACCATCCCCAAATGCATAAATGGCAACCACAACATAATATCACTCTTTACATGCTGCAAGTACCTTCAGTGAGTCTGTGGTGATGCTGATGGAAGGCTTCTTGGCAGTGACAGCTGTGCTAGAACCCCACCTCCTCTTGCGACCGGCCGCAGCCCCTGACTCTTGCTCACCCTCCGCACTGCCAGGGCTTGGGGACAATTTGTTGCCTAGCATTGACGAGGGGGAAAAAACAGAACAAAACAAATAAATTAACCAATCAATGAATTCCCATACACTTACGATATAACATCACAGTGTCATGCACACAACAATGTTTTGATGGCATACTTTAGAAAAACAGATCAATCATGCGATTAATACACACTAGGCTTGTCGCCTTTACAAAAAGTGACACTTAGAATGGATTTAACCACAAACCATAACTGGAATATCCATCCACTTCCCTGTCATACATGCTTGAGTTTACACACAAGTCTATACAAAATTACATGAGATGAAACTATTCAGTCAAGAGAAACATACTGAAAAAGAAGAGAGAAAGTTGGTAGAGTACTCACTGCTAAGAGAGATCTTACGAGCTGAGAAGGCCTTTGGTGTCTGAAACATAAGAAAAAAAAAAAAAAAAAAAAACAAGCCAAAACACATGGGAGAGGTGAGAGGCAGACACAGACAATGTGGATAAAAACAAATGGTCATGGGCAGGTTGGAGCAAAGGTGGAACAATAACAGGAAGGGGAAACGTAGGGATTGAAAGTGAATGATAGAAACTGCTGTGCAGTGTCTTATCGTAATCCAAGTCTATTGATGGCACCAAGTTAACCATGTACCATAATTAATATTATGTTGATAATCTACAACTATACATTTGCTGAAAATAACTGTCTTTTGTAAGAGTAAACTAAAGTTGCAGTCTCTATCAAACAAACAATGATCTGGTGTACTGTAGTTTAAATCCAAGTGCAAAAATGTAGTTATTTAAAAACTTTGCATCTGAATAGACATATTAAAGCCAATCATTTTCAGAGAAGTTTTACAAGAATTTGGATTAAACCACAGCAACCACTAAGATCAGCATTTCCAAAAGAGGTATGACTGGAATCTAAGCATTTTCAAAATAACTAGGAAATTTAGCAGTGAGTAAATATCTATTTAACCCCTGGTACCACTGACACCTGATCCTTACTGGTTTGGATATGGCCCAATCACGACTGCATGTACTGTATCTAGGCAACAAGGGTCCAATCAAAGGTGGCTGAGATGTTTGGATGGAAATCTGAAAGCTGGTTGGCTGGCAGGATGGGTGCAATAGTTCATTTGGGTAGGGGCTTAGAAGCTTTAAGCCAGAGCGGTTATCCTCAGATGTTTTGGCATTAGTCCTTTAAAGATATAGAAGCTGCAGCAGACCAGATGAGTGATGTCAAGAGTCACTGTGCACACTGATCCAGAACTTTGATTTTAATGTTCAGTTGTTTGAGGACCAGTAACTTCATGCTAAGCGTCACAAGGGCAGTTGAAGGGGCCTAAATGATAAGTCCATCTTCAGATCACATAAAAACCGTCACGCCCATCGAGTCCAGATAAAAGCTTTGGTCTTGTTTACACCATATTAAATATCCAAGATGGGAATTTGCTGGTGCAATCTGAATCCCAATCGGACGGATTAACAAATTCCAAAATGTCTTTCGTATGTTACGGTTCACCAACCACGTAAAATGAGATTTCCTTTACAACCCACATTTCTTTGCAAGTGGGTTAAAATGAAAAATTAAACATTGTGTTGTAGTTGAGAAGGTTTCACAGCAGCCTTGACTTCGTGTGAGCACATGTCCTTCACTGTCTCTTCTGCAGGTTGACTTTAAGGACAAAGTCACATAAGTTTGTAGAAGTCTAAGAGAGTGGGGCCAAATTGACTGGCCAAACCCTTCTTTGCATCTTCTGGTCCGATCTATAGCTCTTGCCAGACATATCCATGAAAATGAGGCAGCCTTTGTTGTGTTTGTTTGAGTGTTCCTCTGCAGTGCAGCCTCCCAGGCTTAGTTGTGGTCAACTCTGGACAGTGGAACAGGTGCAGCAGTAGCAGTAGTAGAAGTAGAAGTGGTAGTGGCAGAGGTAGTTTGCAGGTAACCAAAATGGGCAATGGAAGAGGCATGAGCACCTTTATAACAAAGCAATCATTTGGGGTTTAAACATCAGCCACAATGAGAAAACACCCTTGCTGTTTCTGCCTATGACAGTGTCAACAAAGGATTTAAAAACAGCGAAAATAAATAAATGTCACTTCCCATACACATTCTAACACTTGTGAAATTGGCTTATTAAGCCATCTAACTGTTTTTATTTAAATAAGCAAAATAAAGATTTCTGACTAATAAAAAATAAAACTATTAAATGTTATAGAATGTATTAAAATGACCTATAGTGTATTATATCTAGACCAATAAAAAACTGTGAGAATAACAGAAAAGCAACTATAAAGACTAAAATGGGTCCATCCATCTATGTCCTCAGCTGCTGACAGCTTTGCGAACCGACATGATTTGTGGTTCTTCAGGTGCCTTACCTCCTCGCTGTTCTCTGGAAGCTTCTCTGACTCCATGCCAGTCTCCTTCACCTGCCTGCGTAGTGTGACACAGACACATCAACAAGAAAAGAGGGAACAGATGAGAAGACTGTTGGGGCTGAGACATATGAATTCATAATTAAAAAGGATTTTGTGTGGACAGTTTAGTGGTATCTAGTGGTGGACGTTGCACAGTGCAACCAACTGAATAACCTTCATCTCATCCTCCCCTTTCAAGCATGTCAGAGGAACTTATGGTGGCCTTCAGGTAACATACCAGTAGCTGACCAGTTCCCACTGTAGCTATAAAAAGGGCCCATTCTGAGCAGCGTTTCCCAAAGAACTAAATCAATCTATGGGGGTAACAGGGGGCACGTGCATGGAGGTCAGTCATGCACAATAGATTCTGAGTGACGGGTACACAGACTAAAGAGGGAAAGTTAAGTTCCTGCATGAGAAAAAGAACTGCATTGGATGATACAAACTGAAATTATGAGGTCTGTCTGAATGGATGGTAAAAACATTACGGACCATAGCAGTAGCAAGTGGTAGCGAGAGGACAAACAGCACTGTGCACTCCAAGTTATAGATCACTTATGTTATTATTTTGACTTTTTATAATCCAAATTTTGGTTCCTTATGCATCTGTGGCAGGATTAAATTCAAAAACGGTGGGCCTTCACAGTCTAGATAATAAGAGGAAAACACTGCTAAGGTAATGAAATCACAACGATTCTTACTTCTATGAAAACATAACTATAAATATAATTTTCATTTCTGCCTATAGATTCCTCTAATTCCAACACACTGGACCTTTACTAGAAGCAATGAAAACAAAAATATAAACTTTTACTGTCAACAACACTTGAATGATTACGGTATGTTGGTAATTTATCAGTAATTTAACATCATGTACATATCATTTCAATGGGCTTTACATACACTTACCATTATGCTAAATTTTGTATTCATGCAAGGAGTCATGCATTCTCAAATATAGATTTTAGTTCCATTTTCAATGTGATATAACACAGCTATAAAACGTAATGAAAAAGAATCTCAGCAGTTGAAACACACACACACACACAGAAACCAGGTGCTGCTGAACTAACTGCATCTTCAACGCATCTCACGCAGTTGACCACAGTCACACACGCGTTGAGGAGGAATGCACCGCATGCCACCGCAGTCCTCCGGACCAGGACCACACGCTCCACCGCAGCTTCACAATACCTGACAAACGAGCGCGCGCCTCACGCTGTCATGCCATCCTCGGGCGCGAACAGTAAAATGAACCGGGCTGTTAAAGGTTTCAACCGCAGCGGGCGCTCAGGCTGCTGCTGCCGCTGCTGGTGCCGCTGCTGCCGGGAGGACTGCGGCGCCGCGGGCCGCCTCTCTCCGTCTCTCCTCCCTCCCCCTCAGCACAGACGCCTCTCTGCTGTGAACCAAACCGTCATGTCCGCACTGGCTGTCAAACGCAAACCTGCCACGGTCACGGCCTCGTCTACCGCGGGACTGAGCCTCCGTATGGAAGGAAAAACCAACACAGGCTGGTAACGGCAGCTACGAGCATCGACGGAGCACGGCCATATTGCGAACGAAAAAAAAAAAACAGATCCTGTGTGAAAAGGACCCGCATCTTCTCAGCCACACCGGCTTCAAGGCAGCCTCATCAATCGCCTGATGGGAAATTTAATACCAGGCATCTCTTCAGACAATGTGTTTATAATGTTTTTAAAGAAAGGTCCTGTGGTATTTCACATACAGAAAGGCACCACTAAATAATTTGCATTTTACAAAGACAAAGGCTTTTTTGTAGGGCAACCTGATATGGCCAAACATTAACATCCATTGATGTCAATAATTATCATGATAAATGTCACGTTAGTATTTATTAGAGATTTAAAGAATGATTTTTGCTCTTGAGTGAACGTTGTGGTTTTAAACTCTTCTTTACAGAGAATGGCAAACATGTTAAGCAACACATGTTTTTACACATCTCATAGATCAACTATTGTGTTATACCTCCTCACTGTGCTGACACAATGCATGAGTATTATATCAATAGATATTAGACTTAGTCGTTATGTTGCTACTGATAAAAAATATACTGCGATAATTATTGATATTGTTTGATCACTTTAATACTTATTTCCTGTCAAGATAAATACATAAACTGTGACTCTACTAGCAATTTATTTATGACATCCAATATTACTAACACTAATTCAAATACCTAGGGTTGTGCTCTCATTTCAGATGCAGATGTCTGTGTTCTGAAATATCACAAGACTCCCTATACAATTGTGCACTTTTGAGAGTTGTTGAGTGAAGAGAAACTTTATAAACTTATTATCATGTCACTCTGCAAAACTAATTCATTACAATTTGAGCCTTCCTATAGATGCGAAAAAACGTTAAACATGAAGTAAAAAACGTTTGTGTATTTATCCCAGTGTGTGCTCAGTAGGGGTTATGGTTGGTTAAAACACATTTTGCTTTTTTTAAAAACACATTTCATCTTTGCAAACAGGGTGATGTATGTGTTTATTTGCCTATAGAGCAGGGGATTCTATCAAGAGTGGTCTGTCTGATGGGGTTGTATAACCTTCTCTACCGCTGTGTGACTCCTGGATGAGAGCCTATCACAGCCTGGAATCATCTATCTGTGATGTGAACAGAGCAGATTTCCAAGTTAAAGTGTGTGTCCTGCTCATATAGTTCAGTTATAGGATCCTGCGTGGCATCACTCCTGCAGCTGCTGACAGCGCAGGTGAAACATGTGACACAGGAGTTTAATGTGGCTCTAAATAATAAAAAAAAAGGAACAACTTGACAGTAATAATGGACATTTACTGAAAAAATTCTGAGTAGGATTCAGCCCTGTAGTGTTCATTTGCATAAAGAGCGGGAAAGAGAAACCCACTCATAAGTGGTCACTTGGATCACCCAACACGCATGTTAATCTGGCGTAAACGGGGCCATACACCCTGTGATCGGCTGATACTACTTCAAATGATCGGTGATCGGTATACCCTTAATATTTAGTATAACTCTTTTCTCACAAAGGGATGGGACCAGGTTTTTTATATAGCTAAATATAGTCTTTAAGGGAGGGGACAGGGACTAATCATATAGATACAGTACCCAGGATAGGTGTTAAAATACTGTCAAACAAATAAATAGTAGTGTCACTAAAGCACCTTTCAAAACCTTATGAAAAAAGTAGAACCTGCCTGCTTTTAAACATCTGTAGTAATGATATGACTGCAGGTAAGGGTTACCCCTTTCAGCAATCCTAAAAAGCTGAATTGACTACAATAAAGGCCAAAAGAGCATTAATATCTTTAGACAGCCTCCTCTAAACTTTCAGGACATCAGGACACTCTGACACAGACAGACAATGTAAAGGATGTGTTTCAGAAGACCAAAACTGAAAACCAGACCTTTGTTTGTCCTTTTCCTCTTCTCTCTCACTGTTTGTTCTTTTTCTTTGTGTCTCCTCTCCAGGTGCAGCTTCAATGAACGGTTTCTGAGGATTTAAAAAAGGCAGGAAATGGAGAAGGATGTGATGTACTGCATGTCAAAGTCATTGGTGTTGTTAAGGCTACACCACCAGAGGGAAAATAAATGTCAAATATGAAGCCATCAAGAGATTTGTCAGGAGTATAACTTGATTTAAGGACACACCCATTTTATTAGGAGTTGAGATTTTTAGACAAGATGTGAATATGCATGGTTGTCCTGGATGTTTAACCAATCTGGTTGTGTTTCTACATAAAAGCAACTAACCTTGATGTGACTGTCTCCATCAGCAGTTGTGTTACGCATGTCTCCAGATATTGCTCTTTTGAGAGGAGAGGCTTTTGGGAGTTCTTTAGAACCCTCAGCATGAATCTCCACAGTCACCCTGTGCTGTGGTGAGGAGTCTCTTACAGGTTTCACCTCCTATGAGAGGAACAATAGAGCAACATTTTAAACACAAGGGAACACACAAAATCTGCTTTGATGTTACTAGAGTAATACAAAAGTGATATAAATAGAGATACTGGAGACAAAAGATGAAACCACCAGTGTTTCAGCAAAAGATTTCTCATATCCTAATCTGAGGGCCGAGTCAGACACAGCATCGTACTGTCAGCCTATTATCAGAGGTGCCTTCACACTATAAGCCAGAAAGCGTGCAGTATGAATCACAAGAAGATTTATGGTGCATTCAGACATACTCACAGAAGGGCAAGTGAAAGAGTTTCAAGTGGACAATATATCTCATGGTTAGCTCAGAAAGTTTTACTTCTAACATGAAGGCGTCCAAACCACTAACACAGCTCCTAAACAGGCTTCTTTAATCTGCAGATTTCAATGCAGAAATAAGACTACAATGTCGGTTCGTGTTTTTAATGTCATATTAAATAATTGCTAATAATTCCATCCATGTGTGTTTTTGCAGGATACACATAACTATGAGGAGTCAAATAGCACTCCATTTTAATGGGATTTAATTTACCTAAAAACTACAGATTAAGTGACAGGCAAGAGACAGCCTGCCTCTTTGTCTCTTTGTCGTCTGAAGATACAGCTATACACCATTTGTTTCAGAGCAAATTAATGTAACAGAAAGCATTGGGACAGATCATGGTGCCATATCATCATTACTTTACTAATGTGCCAGAACTCGGTTTTCTTTCCATATTTGACACCATAACACATGTAAATCACTATGCAATTCTATTTTAAGTGAGGAAGCTCATGGTAAAGTTAGAAGATAGTCTGGGAACATTTTGGCCCTTTAAGTTGCCCCTACATCATGGGTTGCGAATATGGTTGCTAATGGTTACTATGATGCAGTTATCCAGATTGAGTATTCATCTCCCTGCTGCAAACACCAGCTTGATGGGAGCAATGTCCTGGGGATCATTTGTCAACAATGCCCAACAACAGGATAACATTCGGGACTTGTGTATTGTTGTGATGTCACAATGAAACAGTCACCAGAAAAGTGTTAAATATAGGACCTTGAAATGGTACATTTCAAAGGGAGTGAGCCATGTGCCGTCAATTTGTATTAAATTTAGGTCAATTGCAGATTTGATTTTACTTAACATTAATATAAGATTAGATTTTTCCTGTGTAAAATACTATCAAAATGATATCTAATGTGATGAAATAGAGGTTCCTGGCAGAGCACTTACCTTTCTACCTCTGAAGGAGGAGGAAGTTTCCTCTTGAGAAGATGCAGACGACCTAGAGGACCGAGATGATGAGGACTCAGAGTCTGACTCTGAGGAAGAGGAATCATTAGACGTTGATCTTCGTCTTGTTTGTTTCTCTTCCTTCTTAGCATCCCTACCATCCCGCTGTGCTAGTTGGCTTGAAGGACTCTTGCTTTCATCCACTTTTGATTTTTGGGTGGAATCCTTGGCAGCATGTTCAGCCTTCACTGAATCTGCCTGTTCTCTGTCCTCTGGTATGCTTTTTGCAGCCTCTTTTTTTGTGGGTCCTGGTGGTCCAGCGATAACCTCTGGTTTTGTCTCCACCTTTCGATCTTCCTGTTCAGCTGAGGGCCGGTGTCCTTCCTGCTGTTGTTGTTTTTCCACAACACTGGTGGGGGAGAGGACAGGTGAGGCCTGGGGCTGTGGGGTGTCAGAGAAGGTCCGGGGCCGCTTGATAACCATGGAAGTGGAGGAAGGCTGTGGCTGAGTTGGAGAGTCCCTTAAGAACCGGAACTTCTTAAAGGATGACTGTGGTGACAGAGGTGTTGGTGACATGGTTGCACTGGACTCTGCTGCCTGGCTTTCACTCCGCGGTATTTGAGCATGGACATCTTCCTGCACTCCTGCCTCAGTCGATAATTTTCTAGCTGGTCCTGTGGAGAAAGAGGGAGGAGTGGGCAGGGGGGTGAAACCAATCTCACGGCCACGTTTGGATGGAGGGAGGTGACTCTCTCTCTCCTTTTCGGCCATCCTAGCTTGATCTTTCTCCTGTTCCAGGGCCCTCTCCTGCTCCTCTTTTTCTTTTCGTTGGCGTTCGAGAGTCCTTTCCCTCTCTTCCTTTAGGGCTCTCTCTTTCTCCTTCATCTCCTTCTCCAAGGCACGCTCCTGTTCCAGTTTCTCTTGCTCTAGAGCTTTCTCCCTCTCTAGCCTTTCTTTCCTCTCCTTTTCAGCTCTTTCCGTCTCTATCCTCTCCTTCTCCAGAGCTGCCTTCCTCTCCACTCTCTCTTTTTCCTCCCTTTCTCTCTCTTTCTTCTCTCGCTCAATTCTCTCTTTTTCCTTCCTCTCAAGCTCCAATCTCTCTTGCTCTAGGGCTCTCTCCCTCTCCAACCTTTCTTGCTGTATAGCCTTTTCTCTTTCTATTCTCTCTAACTCCAAGGCTTTCTCTCTCTCAAGTCTCTCCCTCTCTAAGGCTTTCTCTCTTTCAATTCTCTCTCGCTCTAAGGCCTTCTCTTTCTCAATTCTCTCCTGTTCTAAAGCTTTCTCTTTTTCTACCCTCTCTTGCTCCAGGACTCTCTCCCTTTCTAGTCTCGCTTGCTCCAGTGCTTTCTGTCTCTCTATTCTCTCTTGCTCTAAGGCTTTCTCCCTCTCTAACCTTTCCCTTTCCAAAGTCTTCTCTCTTTCAATCCTGTCCCGTCTCTCAGCCTCCAAAGCTCTTTCCCTCTCCTGCTCAAGAGCCCTTTCTCTCTCCTGCCTTTCCCTCTCCAAAGCCTTAGCTCTTTCTAGCTCCATAGCCCTCTCCATTTCTTCCCTCTCTCTCTTCTCCCTATCCTCCCTTTCTTTCTGTAAACGCTCTTCCTCCAGAGCCCTCTGTCTTTCAACCTCTTTCTGTCGCTCCAGGGCCCTCTCTCGTGCTAAGGCTTGCTCTCGCTCCTCCATCTCTTTGGCCAAAGCTAGCAGCTCCCTCTCCCGCCTCTCTCGCTCAAGGACAAGTTCCCTCTCCTTTCTTTCTCGTGCTAAGGCTTGCTCTCGTTCCTCCCTCTCTTGAGCCAAAGCTAGTTCCCTCTCCTGCCTCTCTCGCTCGAGAGCAAGTTCCCTCTCCTGCCTCTCTCGCTCAAGGACAAGTTCCCTCTCCTTTCTCTCTCGCTCAAGAGCAAGCTCTCTCTCCCTCTGTAAGGCTTTTTCTCGTTCTTCTCTTTCTAAGGCCTGCTGTCGCTCAATACGCTCTCTCTCCAAAGCCCTCTGCTTTTCCTCAAGCTCTAGTGCAAGAGCTCTTTCCCGCTCTAACTCCATTGCTTTTTCTTGCTCAAGTTGTCTCTGCCGTTCCTGTCTTTCAAGCTCTTCTCTTTCCATCTCCATGCCCCTCTGTCTGTCCCTCTCGTCTGTTGCAGTGGCTTTAAGCACACTCACAGGTACTTGAATATGGGTAGAATGTGTCCCTGGGACACCTTGGTTGGTGCCCGGAATCATGGGAAATGGCATATGGCCTGCAGTGTTGGCTGTGTGAGTGATAGCAGATACCAGACCCTCTGGAGGTCCTCCTCTAGGAAACAATGTGGCTGAAGGCAAACTGCTATCGTGCCTATCACCTTCCCCCTCACCGCCGTGCCAACCTGCCCCTGAGAAAGCACCTTCTGACTCCATTTTACGTGCCAGAAGGGTCAATGGGCCTGGTTTGCGCTCATTATGTCCACTCCTCTGTGGCTCTGGGCTGCTGCTGCGGCTGCCACTGCTAGAGGAGCCAGAGCTGGAGGTACTGGGTGAGTGCCTAGGGGGAGCTACATCTGGACTAGGGGGGCTCTGTTTAGGGGTGTCAGGCAAGGGGAATGATAACTCTGGAGGTGGGGAGGGGGGAGGTGTTGGTTGGCGGAGCTGTGGAGACAAAAGGGAAGGGATGTGTTGCTGCTGGGGTTGACAGGATGCTCCAGACCTCTCTCTGCTGGAGGGCACTCTGGCTGGCTCTCTGAGATTTCTTCTTCGAGCACCGCTGTCCCAATCATCATCGTCACCGTCCTCCTCTGCTTCATCACTATCCTCATCATCGCTGTCAGCTGCAACCTCACTGGATGCAAAACCCCTCTCTGGCCGGTTTTCACCACCAGGAACACGCATAGCCACAGAGCCAGACGCAGGAGGACTGGACATGTCGGCCTCGTTGTTCCTCTCACCCTCTTCATCATTTCCTTCACCAAAAAATCCCTCTCCACTAGAGGGGCCTGGTGGCTTGTGCTGCTCAGCCAATGCTGGTGTGACATCCTGATGAGAACAGAAAGGGAGCTGAGACTTATTTTGTAATAGAACAATGCCAGTTTTCTTCCATGTAAATAACGTGGCATAACGGTTTCAAAATGTGCAAAAGATTAGAAAATGCGATTTATTGCAAAAAGATGTATATCCTACCTGGGCTTGAGGAGGACATGAGGTACTATTGTTAACTTCTGCATGGTCCTCTTGATCTGTTTATGAAAGACAAATAATAACATCATCAAAATGTTTTCCATAAAGACCAAATTAGTGCAACTATTGAAAACACTTACCATTTGTTTCATATGCCTCGCGTGCCTCCCTCTCCAGACGCTGCCTCAGGAGCTCTTGTTGTTTAGCCAGATACTGTTTGATAAAGCTGTTCTGGCTCATTTCCTCACCAATCTAAATTTAGAGAGACCATTAAAAATTGGCTACAAGTCTTCAAGGCCAATTAAACATTCTATTAGCAGACATTTACGAGAACTGTGCCAATGGACATTTTATCATTTATATGTAAGAGGTCATTGCATGTGAATAAAATTTAGTTTTTGAAATTAATTTAAAAGCATCTTGGAGACAATTACCTGAGAGTTTGGCTGCAGGCCAATGTGAGCAGTGGAAGTCCTCTGCAGATTCTCCAGCATGAGAGCCTGTTATTGAGACAAGAGTCTTTACTGATTCAGTGTAAAAAACAGACAGGTATTCTTTTAGAGTTGTTCTGGCAGCAACTGGTGCTTCTGAATGTAAATGTTACTGTGTACTATACTCATTATCATAATGAGAACATTTCCATCCTTTGCAAAGTACTGTGAGTCTCGTGGGCATTTACATGCAATCAACTTGGGATAAGAACTGTTCAGCACTGCCACCTCTCTTCCTCTATGAACTTAGATTTGAAGAATTTAGCCTTTCATGCAACTTAAAGTAGAGAGCAACCAATAACTTGTGGAGAGGGCGAAGAGGATGGCATACAACAAAGTTCCCTGCTCAGAAGCAAACAAATAACACAGTAAAGGTCACCTGGCTCAATCAGACCCTAATGGGCAAAGCAACCTGCAAGCTGCAGTTAAAACAGCTAAGCAGACTGAGAATAATAAGGAATGGGTTGCAAGCATGAGGTGCTGGACTTAACTCGGTTTAAATTTGTACTCGTCTTCATTTAAATGCTTCATTGTCTCCATTTATCTCTGCCCTTGCACTCACTGTTAGCTAAGCAGCATCCCACCTACAATGCTGATTGTATTACGTTGCAGTGCACCCTACATACTAGGGCATAAACAAAAACTGTAGAACATACAATAAAAGCCATAATGTCTCAGAACTCTTGACAGTGGTGAGCAGTAAAGCAGATTAAAAATACATTTTGTTTCCCACTGCATGTTTGTATTATACAGTAACCAATCCCCCTATATTAAACCAATGCATGTCACCAGTAATTACAGTGCAACTTTGGAGCCACCAGGGACTAAACTGTAAACAACTGTGCAACCAGACTTTCACCTTTTTACATGTGTGTCTGACAGCTGGGAATACATTCATGAATAAACCAAACCTCTTGAAATGAAATACACAGTGCTCAGATTTCACATGTGAAGTGGGGGTGAGGTGAGCTGCACTGGGGTAAGACATGTTACATGGAAAGCGAATATAAACACCACTTTCTGCCTTCACAACGCAAATCAGTGGACAAATAGCCAGACTCCGCAGTTTAAAGAGAAAAGGATGGATACTCTTCCATTGTGGAGTGGATCAGCTTGAATGTCTGTCGCAGTGTAAACAAACTGCCTCCATACTGGACCATGGCAGCTGGTGGGCCTGGGTACAGCTCAGCTCCAACTAATGTGAAATTTGGCGGAACACTTGGACATTTTAGGTGTATTCCTGGTACGCAGACATGCAGTGTTGGCTGGTTAAAGTTGTGCAGTAGTTAAATACAGGCTATATGGTCGAACTCCTGGTTAACCTTACGCACACCGACAGTGCCCGGGACAGGCGCCGATAGCGGGAGCGCACACAGCGGCAGCAGCAGCGAGCCCGTCGCTGAGGCCACCGCTCAACTCCACCGCGTTAGCTCGGGGCAGCTAACGAGCTAACAGGACAACATTACCCAGTCGCATACTTTCAAAATTAGCCACTAAGTTGTCAGAAGTCCCGCTCCTGCTACGGTCGGTGTGATTCTGGACGGTTAACGCACTGTTCGGCCGCAGCGATGCGCACACGACGCATTTTTAAAGCCGACTCTTGGTCGTCGAGCGCGACTACTCCACTCCGCGGCTCGGCGGTGCGGGCGCTCGGTTGTCGGCCCTGAGGAGAGCATCAGCCCGTCTCATCGTGAACCTTAGCTCGCTGGCTGTCGCAGTTCAGCAGCGGGACTCACCCCCTTGAGTCTCTTGATCAGAGCGTTCTTCTGGCCGCTTTTCGAGAGCCCCCTCTCCTCCAGGGCCGCCTTAAGATCCGCCACTCGGAGGGTCTGGAGCGGTCTCCCGTCCAGCGTTACGTCTTCGAGGTCCGCCATTTTCCGTTCCTCTAGTCGGTTCCCAGCGAGAGCGACGAGCAACGCCTTCCTCCACACAGCGTCATCATCGACGACTTCCCCCTCATCAAATATCACACGAATACTGTGTTTCTCACATTTAAAGTACACGGTGTACTTTGATACATATTTCTTTAATAGGCTGCACGCGCATGTTGGTTATGATTGTTTTTTATTCAGTCAACAAAGAACTTTATGTACAATCTGCGGAACCTTAATACCGGACACAGCACGGCTTCCACAACAATGAAGTCAGCTTCCGATTGATCACTTCCGATGCCAGAGTTAAGGGCAAAGTTAAGGGACCGATGAGCACATTTTCCTGTTGTAGAAACGCAGTGGATGTTTAAAGTAAAACCTTAACGCTGTTAAAGACAGTTGTAAAGTTGTGCGATCTTTTCCCCCCTGATTCAGATCAGAAACCACTTCATATAGACTTGTCAAATTTGGGTCAGACAATCATACTACTTGTGAAACTCTTATTCAAATGTGAGTGGCAGAAATGTAACATTACTGGTTTACAGTTGTGCCACAACATTTCATTGGTTGTTTTAAAAAAGTCCTTTTATAAACAGTAGTATACAAGTTTATGTTTATCTTTTTAAATGCAAACCTATTCATATATAGATCATTTGATTGATTTTTAGTCTTCAGATTCTTCGTTTTTAAAAAGAAAAGATACATAAATACTGTTGTTTTCCCTCCTCTGGTCAAACTCACTGTCACTGTTATGACCCTCGCTTATAGCCTCTCCATGGCCTATGTTACAAGCACCATCATTTCACCATCAGTGTGCTTGTTCTTCATTGAATTTATATATAAAAACATTTATAAATTAAATCTTTCAAAACTTCATCAGAAATCACTGACTTCCTCCGGTTTATCTGTCCACGGATATTTACCTTCATTTTAGAGGCTGTCTTTGTGTGGCTCATCACTTAAGCTGCTGTCAGACATGCACTGAACTCCGCAGATCCTCCGTATTTTCTCTGTAAGAGGTGCATGTGTGAATGCAAATGTCTGAGTCAGAGGCTCTGCAGTTTCTGCAGACTTTATCTGCCTTGCCTGTAAAGTCAGCAGAGATCAAATCGATAAGTGAACACAAATGGGATCCCTGCTGGATTCACCGCGAGGGAGTGGGGAGGTCGATGATACTTCTGTGTTCCATGCCTTTGTGGTCTTTATCACATTTTTGTCGCAGAAATTTTTTTACATACTAATGCAAAAAAAAGGGAAAGGAAACACAAATGAACCTCCTCATGATCTATAAAGAAAGTCAATGGCTTCTTTGGGATCATCTTGTCCATTTGATTTGGTGTACTGTTTTTTTCTTTCATTTGCTCCTGGGTTAATGTGGCCTGGGTTTTTAAAAAAACTGTAAAATGTTCAATTTTAGCATTTTCAAAAACTGGAATAAAGATTTCGGAAATGTGCAATAGTGTTTTAAACAATCTTTAGCCTCTATTGGATAGTGAAAAGTCTAGATGAAGTAAAAACATTTTTAAATCAGAGGAATTCCCATAAATAACATTGTCATAAATAGAATCTTTAGACTCTCTGGGCTCATCTAGTCCAGATTTGACAAGCGTATGGTCTGTATGTTTAGTCGATATCAGTTGAATTTTCTATTTGAAAAATGAAAGAATTTCGTGCAGTGGTTCGTTGATTGATGGGCACAAGGTGCAAAACAAGCAATGCAATTGTATTTGTGTATTTTCATAAATGAAACAAAAGGTTTCACAAATTTTAAAAAGTGTGTTTTTAAAAGTTGAATAGCATATATATATATATTTACATAAACGGAGTTAGTATATTTAAGTTTCCCTTAATTTTCCCTCCTCCCTTAATTTTCCCCTTAGCTGCAGACTCGGAAGCTGCGAGTGTGAAACCAGCTTCATTCCGTCTGTTTGCTGGTGAGATTAGCGTGACTCTGGTAAAACGTCGCTGCTCCTCAGATATGTCGACAATAAGGTGATTTAACTCTTCGTCCATAAAAACATGGACACACAGACAGCTGCTAATGTTGAGAATAGTCCATGTTGATTGTGATCGTCACTTCGATTGAAGATCCTGACTGTAGCATCGCTCTGAACTGTGCTAAGCTACATGAGCTGAAAAACACTGTTGATCACTTCTGGGGAAGGACTTTCTTTTTTGCTCAGGTTGAATCCAACCGGTCTTTCCAAAGGTTTGTTGGGGATCTAACATGTCAGCCCAGGTTTAAGTCATTTGCAGTCACAGCAGCTCACTGACGGCCGCAGACATCGAGTGTAGCATTCACTCCAGGCTCAGAGATCCAGCAGCACCGACCATGTCAACACAACCCTGGGCCAGTGCTCCCGGCTGCTGCGCTCCCAGCCCGGAGGACTTTCCACCGGCTCCCCGGGGTGTCGTCAGCCCCCCGAGCCTGGAGAAACTGTCCTGCGCATCTTTTCTGAGCGCGGGTCAAGTTATGCAGCCGGATCCCATCTCCTATGTTACCCTCCAGGAGCAGCGGTGCGTCCTGAGCTGGTTCCAGGGATGGACCATCAGCCAGAAGGAGCGGTTCATGCAGGACCTGCTTGGTAAAGCTGTGCCCGGAAAGGTGTGCACCCTCCTGGATTCACTCAGCACTCTTCAGGTACGTCCTTCATAGGTTGAACCACACCACAAGCATTTTGATTACATCTAGCTATCTGCCCTTGAACAGTAATGAAGCAAATTCATTTTATGAAGAACACAGACAATACAAATCACTACAGATAAACCAGGTAGGATGAACACACAGTTTTCTCAAAACTGCACCATAGACTGTTTAGGAAAAGCGCTGCAAACATCATCCATCACCCAAACAATAAAACAGTGACCGTATATTGTAGAAGTGTTTGAGGAGGACTCAATAATGACAAGGGATAATTCTGAAGTAGATCCAGAGGATTAACACACTGATACTTGGAACACTGTAGGAAGAACCGACACTAAGAACTAAAGAACACCACATTTTTAACTCCATCTCCAATTCTATAAAACATGTCATCAGGAGTAGTTGTTGTCGCACTGATTATTTGTTCATATTTTTTAATCTTACAAATTGTTGTTTATGGTTTGCTTGATAGGCCTGTTTATTTTCTTTACTGGTCATTCATTTTGTTTGCTTTGTGCATTTGTTTGTGTCTGTATTTTGTTCTGTGATACATGTCTATTTGTTATTTGTATGATTTTTACCATCAACCTGCCAAGGACAGCAGAGGAAATCGGGCCTCAATGGCTAAATCTGGCACATTTACTTGTTGGACTCAAGTACACATTAATTAATCTGCTTTGTCCATTTAGAAAATAAACATTAACATACAATGCAATTTCTGATATTCATCAACTGCCCTCTCTCTTCTTCTGCACCCGGATAAGGTTAACGACAAACTACCAAACATCTTTGAATGCCAGCTGCGCCTGTGGACACAGTGGTTCGAGTCTTGGGGAGAAGAGGAAAGGAATCACTTCCTGCACATACTGGAGGAAAGAGATCCAGTGTTTGTTTCCCACTTTTACAGCAGTGTGGCTGGTACAGCAGGAAGAGACTGAGTGATGTCTACACTGTGACAGAAATTAAGTGAATGTTCAAACAAGAAGTGTTACAGAGGTGACATATCAGATATTTTGATTTTCTTTTCCAAACATTTTTTGGATTGGACTTATTGTTGAAGGTACACCATTTCATATAAGGAACAGGAATTATAATTCAAAGCAGTTTTTATTTCGTCAGTGCATATTTCACTTACACAATGAAAATTGTATATTAATTTCAGAACTTTTTGTTTAATAGGTCACGTGCTGACATTTATTGACCAAGTGGTGGTAATTTGAAGTAAAAAGAAAAATCACATCTGGGTGTAAGAAAATTGACTTCCCATTTTTTCCCTGTACCAATTAATTGAAACCCCTAGAATAGCGTGAGACCAACCGTTTTTTTTACACACATAAGATTAAATAAATTGCATTGTTGTATATTTGTTTTGTTTTATTGTCTGAAATATTCAACAGCATTAATAACAGAAGTATGTAAACTATTCTGCAATCACAGGGATTCTTTTTTTACCTACCAAGGTAATTATCAATGTGATACTGTACATGGATAAAACTTCAATCACCACCTATTGAATCCAGTCAGTTGATCCAGGAGTAATTAAAACAATGGGAGCACGTCTCTCAGTGTCCTCGACACAAAAATTGATGAATGGATGGACTTTGTCAGTAAACCTTTGCCTTTGAAATGAGTATATATGAGACCTGGCATTAGCATCGTAAAAAGAGATCTGTCCCTTATTATAGTCCAGCAGAATACCCAGTGTAAGAGGCTGCGACTGCACTGGAAGTATAACAGGTCTTTTATCAATAGCCCTGTACTGGCCTTGTTTGTTCCTAACTATAGTCCAGAAGCCGTTTGATGGACTGAATTTAACTGACCCTCTCCTTGGAGCAGATTCACTGGCCATCCCGAGGTGGTAACAAGAATTCTCAGTGACAGACACCTCCCAGTAATTTCTTTTACTTGAGAACCCAGTCTTGCCCAGGGTGGCAAGTACCACATCAAAGCGGCCTGGGTGGTCAGGGACGTTTTGTATTTCTTCAACAGTGGACATCTCAGTATTATCTGCAGACAGAACTATTCTTGGGTTTGCTGTGTTCGGATCCAAAGTAATCCTCCCTGGTAACAGAGAAAGGCGGGAGATCATGTGAATCTTAATATCAGATTTAGAAAGGAGGTCAACATTAGAGAAATGAAAGCAGCACTCAACCGATTTTATGTCACTGTGGAGGCCAACACTATCCAATGTCAGCCAAGCCTAAAAAACACTGGACCCTACATCACCCAGAATGCAAAGGGATGGCCTTTGAGCCCGGTAAACCTCCACAGTTTAAAAAGTCCACACCTTCAGATTGTAGAGCAGATTCTTTAATAACAAGACTAGGTCCAAACCATAGACTGCATTTAAAATTGCACATAGACTCCATATCTGGTAAGTGAAGCCAATATGTAAGTGCCTTCAACATGTATTCTCTCAAATGACCATTAGAGTTTCAAGGCTTTTTCGATACAGCATAATGTTTATTTATTAAATTATGGTTGAATTTATAGTAAAACAAGATAAAGCGTGGTTTGCAGTGGGACATGTATACCATGTGATTGACAGCTAGTGCAGACAAATAGGTGCAGAGCGCAGCTGTGGGTGAGTGCTTTTGGTCAGCCTCCCCCTCCCTTTAATATGGTTATTTTTAGTTTCAAAAAGCCAAGATGGTGCCTGACAAAATTCCAAACTTAAAGCTTCAAAACAGCAGTTCACAAACCAATGGGTGATGCTGTGATGGGTTGCCACTGGGATCATAGAATATGGCTGTATGACTGTGTAACGTCAATAAGTGCGGAACATTGTCCCAGGTAGCACAGACAAGTAAACTGAAGTCAATGTGTAAAGTTGGTGGGGGCCATACAGTTAATCAGTGTGTGGTTGTATATTTTTTATCACATAGGATTTAAATGAAATATCAATGTCAAATAAATGATATGAGCTAGTGTGTGTGACTCACTGGTATAGATCTTCTTATCTTCCACATCAATGGATTGGTTTTGAAGACCTGGGTAGAGACAAAGAACAGAGTAAGAGCTGCAATATCTTGTGGGGGTATTCTCTGCACTCTGCTCAACAGAACAGAATGAATATTTACCTTGTAACGTCTCCTCAAGTTTGTTCTTCTCGTTTTGCAGTTCTAGTATTGAAACAGAACAGAACAGGGTTTTTATGTTTCATAAATAAAAGCTATTAGCTTCCCTCTGTTACACTGAATGAATGGACGTTTTGGGTGTCGAGCTCCTGTTGCTGCTGGTTGAGCATGGGGTTTTTTGCAAGCAGCTGCTGTTGTAGGTTTTCAACATTGTGCTCTGACTGTCACAGTTTTTTTCTCTAAGACTGTTGGTTAAAAAACAATGTCAAAAAGCACACTGGATCTCAAGAGTACAGGACAGCACACACACCTCCTGCTTTAAGTTAACTTTTAACTTCACACATCCTGATTGCATCTGTTTATTCTGTGCACAGAGGCAAACTTACTCTGATATTCATGCTGCAGTCTGTTAGACTGCCTCGTCTGTTCCTCTGACTCGTGCCGCAGCTGTTTGAGGCGGCTATCCCTGTTTTGCAGCTGTTGCTCCAGAAGATTCACATCCTCCTGGCTCAGCTGCAGTTGTCTCTGTAAATCTGTTTGATCAAATATTCACGTCAGAAACCACACAAAATGACAGCTGGGATCCTAAGGGCGGATACATGTGTAATAACATGATATTACAGTCATATTGAGGTGCTCACCTTCACAGAGGGTGTTCTGATTGTTGCAGCACATCTTCAGTTCTTTAACCTCTTGTTTTAAGTCTGACAGGTGGAGGGTGATGAAAAAGAGACACATATCAAACAGCAACTAAAATAACAAATGTAAAGGACAAAGTTTCAAAGCAACAGCTTGAGAAATGCACTTTGTCACTTTCTTGCTGAGATCTAGATGAGAAGTTCAACACCACTACCATACCATAGTAAATACGAAGATGCTGCTGCTTAGCTTAGTTTTACATAAATACTAAGGTGACATCGTCCACCAACCACCACCATAACACACAAGTTATTAACATTTAATATCTAATTTGCTGAATCCATACAGAAATCATAAATGTATGTCTCCACAAACCAGTCAAGCGGCAGGAAATATGCTCACAATCTCCCCCTCTGTTTCCGAGTTGAACAACGTCCAGAAAAGAGTTTAAGCTCAACACTGTGATGTCCCGGTGAAGTTGATCAATCACTATTGTATATAAAATGTCATCACTCTATCTAGTTCATCCTGTTATACCTTTGAATAAAGATTTGCCATATGTTTGCGTTGTTCTAATCATGTGATGTGCCTCGCTCACCACAATCTTCAATCATGCACACCCTCCCTATTTGGCGAGCTATTTAAGCTACACACATTTCCCATCTCTCCCTTTGCTTTTCAATGCTTCTGTTGCTCTACGTCAGTATCGCTGCTTGGCGATTCAGCCCCTCCACCACCCAGCATCCTCCAATAGGCTCAGACAGGAGGTTAAAGATATTTGCTCATCCCGCTCCATGATATCTATTAAATCATACCTGTGTAAGTGACAAAGTTGGAGCCTAGATGCCAAAACTCTAACTAAGTTTTCCTGCTGCAATAAACATTTCAAATATGAGTTGTCTGACCAAAATGTGCTTTGTGTGGTCACCTTGACGTTTGACCCCCACCCAGCAAAATTGAAAATGAGTTCATTCTTGAGTCTAAGTCAATGTTTGTGCCAGAAGAGGTGTTCATTGCAACAAAGTAGGTAAGGCAGGCCCTCAAGCCTGAAAAACAGCAGGAGACTACAACTGACACCATGGTCAGTCACCCATTAACAAGACCCCATGACACTAATGATCATAATGTTAGAGGTTTGACTGAAGACTACAACGTCTGAATTTGTGTGTATGATGTGTCTGGTATGGTGGTGGAGGTTTACACTTAAAATGTACTACTTAACAAATATTTACACATGCACGTAGGAATGCACAGTCTGCACTTTACTTATGATTTTGATAATAAAATAACCATTTGAAGATTGGAATGATGTGTTTTGGTGTCATGCGTTTCTTCTTGGGGATCGGTTCAGCTTGGTTTGATGTAGGCTCACTTGACCATATAAGTCACCTGAAAAGCAACATGTTGTAGTTTCATATCTCTAAATATATCTCTGCAATCAGCAAATTTCCCAAAACCCAAAATATATTGAGTGCACTACTCACCTCTGTTTGAATTTTCCAGTTTTCTATTCTCTTTTTGGTGTGTTTGAAGTTGTTGTTCCAATTCTGAGAAAGAAAAAAATAAGCACAAGGGGACAGTTAAAGGATGTTTGTTTTAGAAAACATACAGAAGATATATTCATTATTGTTAGTCTGATGTGAAAACATGTATTTACTGTATAACAGCTAACAGCAGAGCCCATATAGGAAAATAACAGATGGACAAACCATTCATAATTTTTCCAGCAGCTTTTGATGCCTTTTTCTGAGCCTTTGTCAGCTGTTCCCTCAGATCAATGATGTCCATCACTAACAGAGACACAGACAAAATGTTATTTTGTGCATAAAGGAATCAAACAACACGACTAAACACATTCACAACTAAGAAACTGTCATACTCAGTTGAAAATTCTTTGTGTCTGCATCCTTGAGTCGAAGTTCGCTGTCCTGCAGTTGCCTCTTTGTCAAACTCTGTCTCGCCTCAAGCTCTGAAAATGAAACACAAAATCATATAATCGATAAATGTGCCTGCGCGCGTTTTGGGCATGTTACAATGACACTGTAAAATTTGAATCCTTACCTGCAAGGTTCTCAGCATGTTCGTCTTTGAGGTTTGATATTTCATCTTCCAGTGGTTTGATTTTCTGGTGAAGTTCCATAATTTGAGCCGCTATACAAACACAATAAAAGCTAGTTTCAGCATTCTGGAGGTAATGAATCATTCTCCTCCTTGTTCTATTTGTTTCTCACTAAAACTGATTAAAACACTCACACAGATTAGAAAAATTCAAATCACTGGAGACCAGCAACAGCGTCTTCCATGTTATCTGATTTCTGAGGTCCTCCAGTTCGCTCTCCAGATCTTGAGAAGAGACATAATAGATTTTTATTTATTTCCTTAAATTGTGGGAAAAGGTGTACGGAATTAATGTGAAGATTTCCTGCAGCTTCCCACCTTTAATTTTCTTTAACTGAGCTTCTGACTGACTCTCTTCTTGCTTCTTCAGTCGTGCTATTTCTTCTTGAAGAGTCAAAATCTTAAAAACTAAAGGAGGAACATTTGAATTAGATAAAATCACCAGATACAAAAGACCAGGATCAGCAATGGCAGCACCATTTCACTCACCCAGTTTGGTATTTTCACCGTTTTCATCTTCAATTCCTTCGATCAGATCATTCAAATGGTCCTGGATTGCTTTAGACAACAGAAGCACAACATCATCATTTAATCTGAGAAGCAAATTATGTGTTTACTTTTCTTAATTCATTTCATTCTTAATGGCTGTGGGTCTGGAGTTCTATTTTAGATGTGATTCTGTCACTCACCTCTGATTTTACTGTAATCTGTGTTGTTTGCTGCCACGTTCACTAACCTTTCTATCTCTGTTTGGATTGAGATAATATGTAGAACTGAAAGACAAAATGATGATGAATGAACCCATTCTAGCAGGTCAAATTTCCTAAATTGACTATATCTAAGGTTTGCTGCTTTTATTAGGGGGTTAATCATTGCAAACAAGAATGATCAATAAATATGTTATGTCCCACTCACATCTTTGGGGTTGAGCGCTTCTTGCTTTCAGCTCCTCTGTTTTTTTGGCCAGCTCGTTATTCTTTTCTTCTAATTGTTTTTGAAGCTCTGCAGACAAAATACAATAAAATCTTTACATTTTAACTTGTGTCCACTGCTGCTCTTGCTTTAATGTGAAACGTATTAGTTTTCCCTGTTACTAACAGCACAGTCATCATTTTGGACATAAATATACATGTTTTTACTGTGCCAGTGCCATATTTTATGTAATCATTGACCTGAATAATTAAAATGACTAAGACACCAACCTTGGATCTTGTCTTTAGAATCAGTGTTTTGTAGTTGTCTATTTAACTCCTCCTGCTGCAGGGTTAATGTAGAAACTTGAAGAGCTGAAAGCACCATGTTAAACAACTGTTAAACTCAGGAACTGTAATATAAGTGTTTAAAGTTTTTCCTTATCTTTAAACATTTTCATATACAGCAACCAACTGTGTTCATATCAATCCATTATCTATACCGGTAATCCTTTACAGGTCGTAGGGGGGCACTGGACCAAGATCTGTTTTTTGACAAATATTAAGTGTGAAGGGCTTGGTAAATACTACTGTATTTTTTAATGCAAAGCCAAGCCATTTGTGAATGGAAAGCAATTGTGAAGGTTCAGCTGAGAAAATCTGTCAGGCTTGAGTTTGTCCACATGTATAGATTTTGAAATTAAATAAGGAACCAGAAAATGTATTCCCACCACCTATGACCTGTAAAATAAACTGGAATTCCACTCACTCCTGATCGAGCAAGAGAATTTCAGAGGATAGAAATCCCATTTGCTGACTGAGTGAAACATTAACACAGCTCCATCTCTTACCAAGTGAAGTGACACTGTCAGATTCAGACTGCAGTTTCTTCATCTTCTCATCCAGATCAATCTGCAGATCTACAGGCGCACATTAAGACAACTCACAAATTAAGTAGTCGACATAGGATGACGACAAAACACTTAAATGCCTTAAAATGGCTTTATGATGAGTGTGAATCATTTATTATTTTTTATATTTTCAATGTTGTTAATCTGACTTTAAGTAGGATTATGCAAAAACTACTGAACTTATTTTATTGACACTTGGTAGAAGGTTGGGGTATGGGCCAAAGAAATGTGTTTTTTACTTGGTTTAACATGGCAGGGTATCCACTCTCTGAGTGTCCTAATACAGTATTGCCTAGATACTTTTCTTTATCTTCATGTCATCCAGGTTAGCACTCTCTTCCTGTTATTCACTTAAGCTTTAAGCCACAATCTCAAAATAGCAATTCACTGCCTATACTACAACTCAGTTCATAAGACAGCACGTAGATGATGAAAAATGATATATCCTGCTACAGAGTCCAAAAGGACCCATTTTCACTCACTGCAGATCAAGAGGGACACAAAATCAACAGGTTTCCATTACCTTTAATTTTCTGCCCAAAGCTGGAACACTGTGCCGCCGTCTGGTTCAGTTCATTCTGCAGAGCTATAGTTCAAAATAGCATTCATATTTAAATGAATGTTTTTTTAATTTCTTGTTGTAGAAACGTACATTTAAAGGAATAAACCCACCTCTGATCTTAACCTGATCCCTAAGGTGCTCCTCTTCTTTTATCTTCAGTTGCTCCTTTAGCTCTAGAAAAAGTAAAGTACGCTTCAGCTTCAGAAGATGTTACAGTTGCATGTTTTCTATCACGTCAAAGGGAAACGAGTCACTCACTAGTAACTGTTACAGAAGCTGATTGGCCCTTGCTTTGATTTTCTTCTTGTAGTTTTCTGAGCCGGTTGTTCAGATCAGTGATGGTCAGAACTGAAGGAACAGACAGATAAAATGTTGATTTCCACAGTCATGAATAGAAACACCATGTTCCCTCTTTACTCACTCAATTGGGAGTTTGACTGATTCGTCTTCCTCAGCTCATCAATGTATTTCTGCAGCTCCTCCTCTTTGGTAGAAAGATCATTTTCAAGCTCTGAGGCGAACATGAAGAGGTTAAAATATATTTATTAGTTAAATGCACAAAATCAGGATACAATAATGATAGTTTTACAGGCTACATTGGTATCAAGCGGGTTATGGGTTGATCGCTTGGGTTTTGTAAAATGTTTGATGGAGATACTTACGGGGTATCTTGGAGGTTTTTACCACGTTGAGGTCTAAAATCTGTTTCTGCAGCTGCTCCACCTGACTCTGCAGCGTCATGATTTTCAACACTGAACAACAACACAGCAGAAAACTATTTAACTGACAATGTACTAACATGCTATCCCCAGGATATAACAAAGTAAAAAAGCACAATTTGTCCATGAACCTTTCGATTATTTGACACTCACTCAGTTTTATGTTTTCGTCGCCTTGGTTTATTTCACTGATGAGGTCATCCACTCTGGTTTGCAACTCTGGGAAAAAGTATTAACTTTAGATTATATTTGGATCATATGTGATTTAAATAGTTCATACAATATGCTAACCTCTTTCACGGTTGCTTGTAGTTCCATTGGTCGCCTTTTTCTGCAGGTGCCAGATTTCCTGCTGCAGCTCAATGATTGATAAAACTGTGATGGACAAACGTGCAGTGAGTTGATCAGAAATCGGTTTTGAGATCCCAGACAGTTGAATCAATACAACAATTTGTCCCTGAAGTGTCTTTTGTGTCTCATACTGTTACACAAGTCTTCAGCTCAGAAACTGTATGGGACTAATATGCAGTGAGTTTGCTTTTATAAGAAATCCGTGTTGAGATCTCAGACAGTAATAGTTTAACAGTAAATAGTTATAGACTTGATGATATAGCACCTTTATAAAGTGTGTGCTTTATACATTAAAAGTGAAAAAATAAGTAAAACAAGAAGTGTACTTGTGTTGTAGTTGACAACCAATCTCTCCATGTCTTCAGTCTTGTAATTTAGTTCGTCTCCCTTCGCCTCCAGCTGCCTCTGCAGATCTGTGAGAGGACACACAGAAGCAGAGATCATTTAAGGAGGCAGGAAAGTGAACGTGGTGCAGAAATATCAAACCATTTTCTCTAAGAAGCATCTTGGCTGTTGACCATTGCTACCCACCTGAGATCCTGTCTGGGTCTTTTGTCGTAGAGATCAAATCCTTCAGAGTTTTCAGCTCATCATGCAGGTTTATTATATTCAAAACTGACCCAGAAAAACACAGTAAAAATCACTTCTTGCTCTGTGAAACAATCAGATTAGAAAACTGAGCAGAGGACACCTCTCATGGAGACATTTAACTCACTGAGTGATGCTTTGGAGTCTCCAGTTCTATTTAGTTCTGCAATCTTCTGTTCAAGTTCAGTCTTTAAGTCTGACAGAGACATTCACATCAAATCAATCAGAGCTAAAACTTAAATCGATTTTAGTTTTAGATACTTTATATTTTTTAGATATTTGATAGCTCACATGAGTGTCTCTCCTCATATCCAGAGCATTCTTTTCTCTTCTCTTGCAACAGCCTCTGCAGTTCTAACATTTGGAAAGAAAGAGTTGCGTCATCAAAGCTCTCACCTGAACCTCATTGTAAGTCGTTTTGGATAAAAGTGTCAGCTAAATGAAATGTAATGTAATGAAAAACTCACCCTTTATGTCAGCCTGAGCTTTGGCATATTCCCTTTCTTTGGCTTGAAGCAGAGGCAGAAGAGCTGATTAAAAAAACATAATGTGGAGTCACTCTTTTGATGTGAGGGAGAAAGTAAAAAATCAGCACAATATGAACATGCCACTGACACGTGTCTTATTTGTAAATAATATCATGTAAATATCAATGGATAGTCTTTACAGAAAACACTGAAAAGCAATAATAGCTGTTATTATACATTATATTATCATTATTAACATATCATTTCATATCATGTTGTTCATATTTATTTCATATAGGACTAGAAAAGGAGGACTCACTGGCAGCTTGGCTTGTGGATGTTGTCTGCTG